CCGCTCTGATGTGACGTATTCAGGAAGCAACTGGAAGAAACTCATCCATTGGGTAACAGTCTGAGAACACTTGGTGTGAAACTCATCAGATGAGAACAAAGGCTATTTCAATTTAATGTAAAGGAGGAACCCTCCCCTCCCCCCCAAACTGAAAAATGTGTTTGGTTGATTAAAATTTTAAAGGAATATTAGCTGCAATGAGGTACTCAGTGTGATAGAATCACAGTGTACAGACACACTATTCAATCAAAAGCTACTATGAAGCCAATGTACTCGAGTAAACATGGAGATCAACTTTGAATCACGTACTTTTATTCAAGAAGATATCTTAATTTCAGTCTTCAAAACAATTGTCTAAACCAAATTAATCTTCTTCAGGACTTAGGGGAACAGTCAAAGTAATCTAGCATTTTAAGACTTTTTTTTTTTTTTTAAATCAAAGAAAGGAAGCAAAAAAGGTGTAGAAAATAAAACTTCACTGCTTAGAAAATAACTTCTTTCGTACACAGCCCTTTAAATTTCATAGCTCATATAATCACCTGGTAGGCTTTAAACTGATCACGAAGCTGAGAGGAAGTATTCCATGTTATGCTACCATGCACAAGGATGTTCGCTTTCTCAATCCATTTCAATATAAACTCCAACATCTCATTGTATTCTCCCAAGTGTGAAGCAGCCTGGATATAAAAAAAAATCCACATAAGCCTAAGATGTAATTCTGTACAGTTCTTAAGAGAATGATAAAATTAATTTCATTTCGTCTACTTTTTTTAACTTGGGTATGATTTTAACAACTTTTCCTTAATGTTGAATATAAAGTAATTATTTTTATATTTATGGAGTTAAAATAGGTCTGCTTCCAGTAGCAAGCATATCTGTTTCAGGGGAAAAAAGGCCCTAGAAGAATGTAGGTCACGCTGGGAGACTGCATTGATCCTCAAATATATGCCTAGAGGGTACACCTCTTGCAAACATTTCAGCCTCACACTGGAGTTCTAAAATACCTTCTTGCTCAGTTTGTGGCTTACTGCAAGCCTCCTTTACGTCACCCTTATTTTTCTTTGTCTCTTTCCATGTCATCCCCCAAATCACTTTTTTTTTTTTTTTAAAAAACCTGCTTTGTTCACTCAGACTGTCATATTTCCAAAAAGAGAAATGTTGCACTTATTTCAAATTACAGGAAAAAAGCTCTGCTTTCTGATTCATCCAATTTCTATTTAGCAAAGTACTCTTTCGTCCCAAGTTTCT